GTCGACTAAGCAGATTTTCTGAAAAATATCGGCTAATACTATTAATTATAGTTCATATTAACCAAATGCATATTTGTGATAGGTGAGTTGGCTTCAAGCTCAATATTTGCGCGGATTGTTTTAGTGGTAAGATCAGAAATAACAGGAAGGACATCATTGACTTCAATAATTATCAATACATTATCAGTAAATAGTGGAGCAAATGTAATATTAGGACTAAGCTTTAGCACGTTCAAACGTCCATTTCCATAAGCCCTTCCGTCCTTACCACTGATGTACCTTTCGTAAGATGTAACCCACCAAATTTTCCAATTAGCAATTGGATTATCATTCTCATTGTATCGTTCGAACAATTCGTTTAAGAGTTTGCAAAATTTTTCGGCGCGTGCCAATGCAATCCGTTCGATTATATATTTGATCAAAAAGCATACAACAAACCATGAGTTGATGCTTGCGAAGAAGCCTATCACCTTAAAATATTGGGTGAAGATAAATGATACCGTAGATGTACTAATCATAGCGAGTAAATACAATATAGATTTCATATTTTCGTTCATTATTTTAACGTCTTTAACTTGATTATTTATTTGATCAAGTCTAGTAGCGAACTCTTCGCGAGATAAAAATCCATGAAGGTTAAGACACCAATCTGCCTTGAACGAACGCCCAGCAGAACTACCAGCAGAACTACCAGTAGAGCTACCATTAGATGCTTGCGGAAAAAGAGGAATTAAAACAACTTTCATAGTATAAGTAAATTATGAAGTTCAGAATTGAAACCTGAGCGTAACAATTTAGATTAAGGTGTCAAATCAAGTAATTTATAGTTTATGGAAAATCAAATTTGATTTTTTAGAGTTAACCTATAACATACAAAGACGGGTAAAGTAATAATATAAGTAATAATTACATATTATTTATTTCAGCATCTATACGTACTTACACGATTGTCACTAAGTGAAAACTATCAACTCCAAAAACAGAATAGGTAAATTTCATAATAAACTATTTTTAGAATTTTAGATTTTCATATTTCGCCAATTATCATTACGATTTACGATCCACAAACTGGCTAAACGCGCCATGAAGATCATCTACTAACACATTTCGAACAATTAGGAATTTTAATTGCCTCAGCCTGCTCCTACGTATATTAATTGCAATATTAGTGGAATTGGAAATTGTAGCCATATTAATATCATTGCATAAATTAAGATTTAATTATATTGCAAGCGTTTATCTTAATTGTTAAGATTGAAAAACATGATTTCGCAAATTCAAAGTATTACCTGATGTTTATTCATTTATTATGCTATCCTATGGTCTATAAACTATTCATTTCTTTGTTTATCATTGTTTCTTTGTTTTTTTTCTAGCTATATTTTCTAATTTCTGATGCACATTTTGATTCATACTGAATTAAATATCTATGAAGTTAGCTTATGCATAGTTACAACTTCTAAAGTTTTACGTAAGTTTAAGCAAGTTTGTCACACCTATTAGTAATTCGTACCGTTTCATGATAAAATTAGAAGGAATGATATAGTTATACTAAATGCGTAAAAGGTGATTTTCCATCCATAGATCTCTTGTAGTATAGGTGACACTATTCTAAATCAATTGATCAATTAATAATATCTTTGCGCAAGTCTTACAGAGATATTCATAGTAAATCACAAATTTAGTTTCTTACTAACACTATTAACAACGAAATGCGAAAAAATTAGTAGCTTTTTCGTTAATAGTGCTATAAGAACCTAAATTTGCGATCTACTATGAAAATTTTCTCTTAGCGACCTATATTATTAATAATTTACACTAGAATTAGAATATTTTGTTGCTACCGCAAAAAATGTAAGATTTCTGCGAAAACATTCTATTTATGGTGTCAACTATTCTAAAAGAAATTCTTGTGTCAAATTTTGTACTCAAGACATTCGAGAAGGTAAAATAAAAAATTAAAATAAACGTGTCACTTATCGTTATATCAAATACTGTAACAAATTAATGTGAAAATAGTTTTATTGATCATGAATTCTTCCCTTTATGTCATAGTTATCATGAACCAAAAGGCTCAGAACAAAAATAGGTTATTCTGAATAAGATAAATTTACTATACTACATCTGAATTTGTATCCGGCTTGATTTCTCATGCAGTAAAACTAGTTTTAACAGATTTAAAATAAAATTATACTCTAGTCCAAATTTAGGATGACTCCGAAAGGATATTAAGTATACCGAAGTATTTTCGGTATATCCATCACGCCGAAAATACAAAACTGAAGATCAAAAAAATTTTAGGATGACTCCGAAAGGATATTA